GGGGAGGGACTGATGATTGTGTTATTGATCATGATGGAGAAGTCAGGGGAGGGGGCACGGGCTGGAGGGAAAACTAAGAGCTCAGTTTTGGAAAGATTGAGTTTGAGGAAGTGGAGTGACATCCATGCCGATATATCACTTAGTAGGTTAGTAATGCGAGAGGAGACTGAAGGGGTGAGGTGAGGGGTAGAAATATAGATTTGTGTGTCATCAGCATAGAGATGGTACTTAAAGTCATCGGAGTTTATCAAGTGACCAAGGGAGGAGGTGTAGAAGAGAAGGGGTCCAAGGACGGAACCATGAGGGACCCCTACAGAAAGAGGAAGTGGAGAGGAGGAGGCAGAGTTATAGGAAATGCTGAAGGAGTGCTGCGATAGGTAGGAGGAGAACCAGGAGAGAGCAGAGTCTCGGAGGCCAAGAGAGTGGAGTTTTTTGAGGAGGAGGGGATGGTCAACCGTATCAAAAGCCACAGAGAGGTCAAGTAGTAAGAGTATAGAGTAGTGGCCATTGGTTTTAGCAGTTAGTAGATCACTAGTGGGTTTTAGTAGGGCAGTTTCAGTGGAGTGTAGTGAGCAAAAGCCAGACTGTAAAGGGTCAAGAAGGTTGTTGTCAGTGAGGTGGGGGCTCAGGCGATTGTAGACTAAGCGTTCTAGGAGTTTAGAGGTATATGGCAGCAGGGAGATGGGTCTTAAGTTGTTCAGGTTGGTGGGATATCAATATATCAACGCAAAGAGGTCATTGGGGTTAAATAACTAAAGGCAAATAGGCTGTTCACTTTGCAAGAAAATGTGCACTTTTTAAAGGAAAGTGCAAATTAGCTTAGTGGATACAGTGAAAATTCACTTTGCAAAGACAACCAATCACATGCAATGAAAACAAAAAAATATGTTTGCTTGTGCATGACTGGAGGATAGAAGTCAACATCGCTTCGCTACCAATTACTAAGCTAACCAAAAATGCTTTTACAACATGCAAATTCTCTTGCAAAGTGAACAACCTATTTGTCATTAGAAAATCAAACCCCTTGTGTCATAAAAGGTTCATCAGCTGACATTTTGCAGCATAGTAATGAATTTTTGCCATTCTGCAAATGCATTCTTGAATGTACATTTTAAAAAATCCCAGAGGCAAGGAAATATTCATAACATTACAATGATCCACCCAATAAAAATACTTAAACTGCAGTGGCCTTAGAAAAGAACTTCCCTTTCCTAGGGCATATAATTAAATTGTTTTTCTTATTACTACATATTATAAATCATGCCAAAAACTCACATTCCAACAGCCTTCTGCAATCATTACAATACGTATATATCAATGTTGATGTTACTTCATTAAAGTAACTTGTTGTATGTGTACTTTATTTCTTCAGATGGATATTTATTAATACATTTGAAATCTGATTCTGTTACTTATCTAATCTTGCTTTGTTTGAAACCTGGCCACGTATTCACGAAAGGGATAAATGCATCAAATTATTAAAATAGGGTGTAACTCATGTAATGCAAGATTGAAGATTACACACTATAAAGTAGATTACTGAGGGCTCCTGGAATGGTTCAGAGGCACCCAGCAGAGATTAATGTGAATTAGGCAACGATCAAAGTAAGAAAAATGTCCATAAGTATCCAAGAGCCATAGGCATCCCCAGCAGGATGGATATCTCAACCTACGCAAGAAAATGTTTTTTGTTTCAAGTTTTATTTGGTGGTATGTGACCTCTCCTTCCACTGTAAATGTACTGTAGTCTTCATTTTCAAAGCCTAACATTTCATTTTATATCCCTGTGTGTTCTGTTTTCTTCATAATTTCATTTCGAACACTTCCAGCTATTCAACGCATCTCGTATCTCACCATTTTACAAGTCTGTTGCTGTGACCTTAGAAATTAAGGACAGACAGTTCCTTTCATTTTTAACATGAAGCCCATGAACTTTTAACCTTCAGAAAACTGTTGCATCCTGGTTCCAATGCTCTTATTTCAGGCCTTTAGGGTCTACATTTCCAATTTTCTATGGCTTTATTCTTCCAGGTATGTAGACAACATACTGGGTTACTATACAGACAACAATCAGCTCTTGCATAATACAAAAAAAAACAACAACCATGAATTGGGTTAATTTATTAAAGAAAACCAGGATGTTTACTTCAAAAGGAAAGTTGCACTTTGCAAGATAATTGTCCCCAGGGCCTAGGCAAGGTGGTTATATTTCCCTTTGCAAAGAATACCCAATCCTGCGTGAGGAAAATAAAATAAACAGAATTTTGTTTGCACATGATTGGACAATTAAATTCAGCAGAGCTTCAGGTCATTTCCTAACCTCTAAGCATGAATCCATTACAAAGTGCAACTTCCCTTGCAAAGTGAACAGTCTATTTGTCTTTCATATATCATTTCCAATGTGTATAGATAGCTTAGTTTAAAAACAAATTGGAGTAGGGAACGGTTTAGAAACACTCTCAAGATTATATTGTTGTCTGTGTTCCCACTGGTAAGATTTATCCTCTTTGGTTGTCCTACTGAACATTGCCACCGAGACAATGGGAATTTTAACATTTTAAAAGTGCCACCAGGATAGGAGGTTAGGGAAAATCCTCCAATGAGGATACTTCTTTTGTTGACAACTCCCCTTGCTTTGGAAAGATTTCCTCTCACTTTCTGTTGCATTCCCAGAACAGAAAGAAAAGTGAAATTTCCCCAACACAGATAGAAAAAAATAAACTGACATGAGTTCTAGCCCTTCCCTTCTCTATCCAAACCTATAAATAAATGCTTTGGCTGTGTTTTACAAAATTGAAACACTATGTAGCAAGTACATTAATAAACCTCCCAGTTATGCAATTACTAGGCTGCAGCTAGAGGGAGCTCTAATGATTTGCAGTGTGACTTCACAAGACTAACAGCTCACATTAAACTCAGAATGAGCAGATGAGCAACATGTGGTTTCTGTTCTCCTCTTGATACAGGTCAGTTATATTTGCTTTATGCTAACTTCGTTCAGTTTAATGTTTGTTCTGACATTCACTTTCTCTGTTCAGTATCCTATATGTTATTAATGGTAATTCTCTCACACAAATTGATGCAGTTTTCCATGTGGCATGCCCTGGCACTATAAAGAAAGTAATTATCTGTATAATGTGATCTATTTCTGTTTGTCACAATAAAGTGTTACTAACTCTTCATTCACTATATCTGGTCTCCTACAATACACAGAAATGGATATTTTAATAAATATAAACTGCTAATTACCTTTTCTCATTAGCAGTTAGCGCAGTCTTGCGACTTCTATTAGTGTCCAGCACAGCACTGGTTAAAGCTTGCTGGAGGGGTTTTCACTCTCCCCTGACTGTCCAATGAGGCTACAGGACCCCAGACCCTCTATCTGGAAAGTGCTGATTGGCAATGTGCTGATCGCATGCAGCCTCCCAAAGAAAAAAAAAACCTCTCTAGCAACACACACCAAACTGAGCATGTGTAACTTGTCCCCAAGGCTCTGTTCTATTAGCAGATGGATTGGGGACTGTGGAAGATGGGGAGGATCAGACACGACAGGATCAAACATCCTTTTTTACACAATGCAGAGGATAAACCCCTTAGGTTCCACAGTGAGTATACCAGGCATCCTTTACTGCATATACAGGCTGATTTTACTGTTGTGGGTTTTGTAACAATGTAAACTTGGAATGAGCAAGATGTGTTTTCTGTTCTTCTCTTGATACAGATACTGCAGGCTGCATCTTTGTCATGTATCAAACTCAGATCACAGATAATCATGTAGCCACTTCATACCCCCAAACAGCTGCTGGGTTTGCTGGACTGTAATGGGATTTTAACAAAACCCCAAGGTTCTAAGCGTCCATGCTTGTTCCAGCAGTTGGCACTAGGTCCATGCTGGTACTGTCATGCACAGAGTATCTGTATTCTGGTCATGACCTTACCAGAAAGAGTAAAGCAGTGGCTGAGGACACAGACATCTGTCAGTTAATGTGGGTGAGACCTTACTGTCACCTACCAGCAATGATGGGGTACAGACCTTTTCACCGCCACTGACTACCAATGATGAAAGGGTGGGGTTTTTTTTCTGAAACTGACCACCAATGATAAGGGGTTGATCTTTTTACTCTGGGAGGGGGACTTTTTTAATGTCACTGACCATTGATAATTTGGGAAGATGTTTTCACTGCCACTGACCACCAATTATGTTGAGGTAGACCTTTTAACTTCTACTGACCATCAGTGGGGACAGGGGTATTTTATTGCCACTAAGCAGCAATGCAAGGGGCACTATGTCACATAATCTAACTGCTACATCCCCTGTGGTGTATATTACATAGCTCTGATCCCTGCACTATATATGTTCTGTTGTACATTACAGGCTCATGAACACTGCATGCATGCGATTTCTTCTTACAGGGCTAGATAGATTAGGATTAGAATGTGGCTACAAGTGGGATTAGAGCTAGTTAGGTTATATCTGAACTTCCTCTTTAACCTCCCTAGCTGTCTGATTATGTCCATATTTCTGTGCTCAAAGCGGTACATTTTTTTGCATGGAAATATGTATTTTTTTTATTGTAGGCCTGTAATTTTTAGGAATAACTCACTGAAATCTGCCTGAACAAGAGACTAGTAAACATCCCAGGTATGATAAAAATCTGAAACACAAAATCATAAATTATAATTTGATAAATAATAATAATAAATTGAATTCAATAATATAATCAAACCAAAAACACTGAAATTTGAAATATAGCGCCAAGTTCGCACATCACTGAGCTTAGTCGCAAAATCGTTTTCAGTGCTGATGACGAATTTCCCCACGAATCATTATCACTCAATCCTGCAAGTGGTTCTAATTTACTATCGCTGTTCTCTAGCCGGTCTAAAACCGATTTTGACCTAAAGGGTTGCTTTTTGGACACCATGGACATTTCACAGTTTCCAGGCAGAAAGAACAGTAAAAATGCAGGCAGGGCACAGGACAAAGCACTCGGGACAAAATGTATGTGAAATGGTTTGATACAGTAATGTTTTACTATGTGATTTTAGTGTATTTAGTGAATGTCACTGTTTGCCATTTTCAAATTTTCCACCAGTTCTGACCCCTGTACGTCCCGATGCTTGCAGGAACCCAGATAACAGATTCCGGCATTCGCCGGAGGACATTGCCGGGGACGCTGCAGGAGGGACATCACAGGAGCGCAGGACAACGTAAGACAAGAACAGATCCCGGAGCAACGCCGCATGGTAAGCCCGAGTGTAGCTCGGGGTTACCGCTGTTGGTACTGAAACTTTACCCCGAGCTACACTCGGGAATACCTCCAGGGAGGTTAAGGTAAAAACATAAAAATTATAACTTAGAACTAATCTTAATAGCATTTTAAAAAAAATACGCATTACATTTACTCATAAGACAATCATTTCATGCAGACTGGCTTCATTTCCCTTCCCCAAAGCAAATACAATGGTCACTGAAAAGGGTAAGCCTCATGTCCCAGTTGCTGATAGATCTACAGATTAAAAAAAAACACAAACTGCAGCATCAGCAAGTTAATTTCACATGATTTGTATGCTAGCAAAAATTAATTTTTTTCCTACTGAATTATCACCTTTACCTGGTGGAGGAAAAATCACTGAAAATGTGCTTGCTGGTGGTGTTGTAGTCTTTTCAGCATACATTTTGGAACCACAATAATGACTTACAGCTATGTACAGAATATGTTGACCCCTGCTTTGTTCTATAACGGCCCTAACAAGGCAGAAGAATTGGGAGCTCAAAGTATCTTCATGTCCTAAGAACAGACAAATCACGCTCATGATTCAACCACATGACAGCCATCAAAGCTTGTAATACCATTTTGGATGGATCTGGTCTTTTGAATCCATTCATCATCATTTATCCTGCATGTAAATTGTAATCATGAACTTCTCTTATTTGCTACTCTTTTTCTGAAAAATATATCATAGCAATTGCTTTATTTGCTCAATAAGAAAAATAAATAAATATCCCTTTAAATCCTCCCAGAAAGCTGATTGCGGTTAGCATTTCCTACTGGCAGCACTGACGTCATTGGTTTGATCCCAACCATGGGACTACCTGCACAGAGTTGTCATTGTCTCTCTGTGCCTGCATAGATTTCTTCCCACACGCCAAAGACATGCTGGTAGATTAATTTGCTCCTGTCTAAATTGGCATATGTATGAATGTGAGTTAAGGACCTCAGATTGTAAGATCCTTTGAGGGCAGGGACTGATGTGATGTACACTGTAAAATGTAAATTGTTGCATACATTGTCACCACTATATGGCTCCATGCACACTAGCGTTATTTTAAGCTAGAAAATTCTGGAAAAAAACTATGGAAATAAAACGCTGGTAATAGCATTTTTAGTAGTGTTTTTTTAGCGTTCAGTAGTGTTTAGAAGCAATTAGGAGCGTTTAGGAGCATTAGTTTTTTTATTAGCATTTTTACTGTACATATATAGAAAAAAAAAAAGCTAGAAAAAAGCTGTTAGGAGTGTGTTAGGAACGTTTAGGAGGATTTACGCTCCAAAAGACTCTACAAAAACAATTCTTTTTCTGCTCCTAGACACTGAAGCTTGAAAAATGCTGGAAAAAAAACGCAGGTAATAGCAATTTTAGTAGCATTTTATTAGTGTTTCCGGAGTGTTTAGGAGCATTTATGAGCGTTTAGGAGCATTAGCGTTTTTACAGTACATGTGGAGGAAATAATAAAAGCTGTTAGGAGTGTTTTAGGAGCATTTAGGAGCATTTCCGCTCAAAAAAAAAAACTATACAAAAACATTTTTTTTCTGTTCCTACATGCTGAAGCTCAAAAAATGCAGTGTGCACGGACACATAGGATAACACTATTTAGCTTCTAGGAGCAGAAAAAAAATGCTAAATAACAGCTTAGAAAAACACTAGTGTGCATGGAGCCTATAAATACTTGTAATGAATAAATAATCAGTTAGCATTGTTTCCAGGTCTTTCTGTGGGTTACAGAACACCTCACCTCTATCCTGACAAATAGTGATGGGCTGAACACCCCCTGCATCTGAGTACGCAGTAAGATACCGCACCGCTACTAAAATACCACATGAGTTATATTATTAAGTCATGCGATATTTTTAGTAGTGAAACATTCTTTAATGTTTCAGTTGTCGTGTGGTTCATCGCTGACAGCTGAATGTAAAAAGAATTGCTGGCATTGAACGGCAATTAAAAAATTAAAAAAGAAACACATGGGGTCCCCAGCCCTTCAGGTCTGGTATGGATTTTGAGGGGAACCCCCACGCCAAAATTTTTTTAAAAAATGGCGTAGGGGGGGTTCCCCCTCAAAATCTATACCAGAGCCCTATTCGAGCATGCAGCCCGGTCGGTCAGGAATAGGGTGGGATCAGCAAGTGCCCCTGAACCATACCAGGCCACATGCCCTCAACACATGCCCTCCCCCCCAAGCACCTTGTCCCCATGTTGATTGGGACAAGGGCCTCTTCCCCACAACTCTGGCCTGTGGGGTCACAAAAAAAAAAGTGTAATGTAAAAATCACAAGAGACAGTCTTTGACAAATCCTTTATTAAAAACAAAAATAAAAAAAATGTCCCCCGAAGAAGATCCAACATCAATCATGATGCCCGCTACCACCGCCGACCCGAAAAAAAAAAAAAAAAAAAAAAAAAGCACTCTCCGTTATTGATGCTGGTTCCCACTGCCTGACAGCTGCGCCAGGATGTCAGTTCCTAAATAATGTGATGATGTCATAAGGGGACAGGGTCACCCCCACCTCCTTGTGACATCATCATGCGCTGTGATTAGCCAAAGCATTGCACCTGACCTGTGGTCAGGTGCATTGGCTTAGACCAATCACAATGCACTGTCAGGGTGCAGTGCAATGTGGGGCATGGCATGTGAACAGTCGAACACACGAACAGCCCATGTTCAAATCAAACTTATGTTTGACTCAAACATGAAGCCCAACACTACTGATAAACACTTAGTTGCAACATTTAAGGTACCATAATATGCACAAATCATTATGTTATGAGTTTCTTAAGATAATGTTTTATTACTGCACTTTAAAAAAAAATGAATATGAATCACTTAAAACTATTGGTGACAGCATAGTGTTAGGATCTATAGTATTATAGCAAAATTAAAATGATTAACCATATAAATCATCTCCACAATATTATAATTTTATTCCACCACATATATAAACACCATGTGGCTGATTTACTAATGTAATTTAAGAATGTTCACACACACAAAAGTAAAGATTCACTTCATTTCTCCAATCATGTAAAAAGCAAATTCTTGTTTAGTTATTTCATTTGCATATGGTTGAATAATGGAAGTGAATCTTAATTTTTTTGTGTGTGAACATTTTCAATTCCTCAGAGGGAGATTGAAAGGGATATAAAAAAAGGAAAACTCTAGACCACAAAATATAGACAGTCTTAAAAAAAATGTTATATATATATATATATATATATATATATATATATATTTATACACACACATACATACATACATACATACAATGCTCAGAATAAAGGAGTACATCCCTTTTAAAAAGTAAGATTTTAATCAATATCTCAGTGAACACAAGAGCAATTTCCACAATTTTGCTAAAACTGAGTTTTATAGAACATTTGTTTAGCTCATTACATGAAAGTAAGGTTAATAATACAACTTAGATTACAAAATCTTCAGTTTTACTCAAATTAGTTGAAGCAAAAATGAATACGCCCCACAACAAAAACTACTACATCTAGTATTGTGTATGACCGCTATGATTTGTAAGGACAGCACCAAGTCTTCTAGGCATGAAATGAACAAGTTGGTGACATATTGCAACTTCTATCTTTTTCCATTCTTCAAGAACAATCTCTTTCAGAGCCTGGGTGCTGGATGGAGAGTGATGCTCAACTTGTCTCTTCAGAATTCCCCATAGGTGTTTGATTGGATTCAGATCCGGAGACATACATACTTTGCCACTGAATCACTTTCACTCAGGTTCTTCTTCAGAAATGCAACAGTGGCCTTAGATGTGTGTTTTGGATCATTGTCATGTTGGAAAAGTGAACGACGACCAAGGGCACGGAGTGATGGTAGCATCTTCTCTTTCAATATAGAGCAGTACATCTGTGAATTCATGATACCATCAGTGAAGTGCAGCTCCCTGACACCAGCAGCACTCATGCAGCCCCACAGAAGGATACTGCCACCACCATGTTTCACTGTAGGCACCATGCATTTCTCCTTGTACACCTCACCTTTGCGATGCTTTGAAGCCATAAGATCCAAAAACATATATCTTGGTCTCATCACTTGAGAGTACAGAGTCCCAGTAGTATCCTTCTTGTTAGCATATGCTCTGGTAATTTCTAGGTGGGCTTTTTTGTGAATGGACTTTAAGAGAGGCTTCCTTCGTGGACGATACCCATGCATACAATTTTCTCTGCAGTGTATGCCACATTGTGTCACGGGAAACAATCACCCCAGTTTGATTTTCATCTTTAGCTAACTGCAGTGAACTTACATGGCAATTTTCTTCAACCCTTCTCATTAAATGATTCTCCTGTCGAGGTGTTAACTTCCGTGGATGGCCTGGACGTCTCTGTGACATGGTTGCAGTTCCATCTTTGTTAAATTTTTGTATCACGTTTGCTACAGTATTCTGACTGATAAGTAAAGCTTTGCTGATCTTGTAGCCATCATCTTTCTTGTTTAAATAAATTATTTTCTCAGACCTTGTGACATTTCTCTTCCATATGGTGCTATCACTGACAGCATGAAATGGGAAGGGGTTTTCTTTGTTAAGTAACACACTTTTATAATCAACTGTCTGCTGGACACCTGTTTAGTGAATTAGACTCACCTGTAGTTGAATTCTTGTTAATGAGGATTTTGTCTACAATTTAGCTTTGCTCCTAAGACTTTCATTGGGGTTTATTCATTTTTGCAACATGGTCTTGGACAAATTTGTTAGGAAAAATACTTTTTTGTGTGTGCAAATTAACAAATCTTGTTTGCAACCAATGGCCCGCATTTGTGGGAGTATTTTGTAGTATAGTGTCCCATAGAAAATGTTGATTCTGAAAGGAAAGGAAAGGTTTTCTGACAAATCTGTTGAGGTGTACTCATTTATGCTGAGCACTGTATATATATGACAACAAAATAATGATATCTCATATGAGACTTGAATAACTGAATTTCCAATAGAATTGATGCAATGTAGTATTATGATAATATTACCTCATGAATGTAGAAAAGGTAGAACTGCTAGCATTTTAAAAATTCTGTACTAGATCCAGCATTTAAAAAAAACAAGGA